TAAAAATATTTTTTAATTTGTATAATCTTTGAGTTTTTCCATCTCAGAAGAATGAGAAAGAAAATTTACCATGTAACTTTTAAGGGAGAAATCAAAAGCAGACGGATCTCCTGGGTATGGCCAGAACACAGAAATTAAAAAACAAATAAAAGAAAAATAAAACCAAAATCCACAAAAGAAAAATAAACAAAAACCTTTGGAAATACATGCACTGTAAATTCAGTTTTAAGTATAATAAAAAAACATTTCATTTCAGCATTACCTATCAAGTTTTACTGAAAATCACAAAGGCCCACCTTAGTGTGACTTCAAAAAAAGTATTTTGACCATAAGGAAATAATTGATTTCCCTTTGCATAAAAGTAAAATCCAGGGTAAGAGGCAAGAAATTACAGGAAGTTACTTGTGTCTGAGGAATGGGAATAGAGATTAAAAAAAAAAAAAACTTCCTTAACTCCAACCTAAACCCAGATCCCCATTATTCTAGAAATCCACCAGAGAAAACTGATGAGAACATGTTAATTAAAAATTTGCTAGAACAATTTGAATGTTATCCTAAAGAAAAGTGATGGCTATCCCAATTACCCTGATTTGATTATATGAATATATCAAATTATCATATGTACCCCCAAATATGTACATCTAGTATGTATCAAAAACAAAACAAAGAACAAACAGCACCCCCTAGTTGGCAGAAATCTCAGTAATTGTTCCTGTGCTCTATTACACAGTCCTTTAGTAGTCTGTCTGAAGAGGTGAATAGCTTCTACATATTCAGTATTTATAATACATATCCCTTTAAGGGAGAGTTATATCAAAAGCACTTTGGCAAACTCTATTAGAATCTGTGCAATCTTTTATTTACTAAATGCAATAATTATCACAAAAATTATTATCTGGTTGGGTGATAATGAACAGGATGGTGGAACTTTTGAAAAGTAACAAAGTTTCTGTTTTTTGTTTTTTAAGACAGAGTTTCATTATGTTGCTCTTGGTAGAGTGCGGTGGCATCACATCTCACAGCAACGTCAAACTCTCGGGCTTAAGGGATTCTCTTCCCTCAGCCTCCCAAGAAGCTGGGACTACAGACGCCTGCCCCAATGCCCGGCTATATTTTTTGTTGTAGTTGTCATTGGTGTTTAGCAGGCCCAGGCTGGGTTCAAACCCGCCAGCTCGGTGTATGTGGCCAGCGCCCTAACCATTGAGCTACTGTTGCCAAGCCATAAGTTTTGTTTTGTTTTGTTTTGTTTTTGAGACAGAGTCTCACTATGTTGCCCTCCATAGAGTATCATGGTGTCACAGCTCACAGCAACCTCAAATTCTTGGGCTTAAGGTGATTCTCTTGTCTCCGCCTCCCAAGTAGCTGGGACTATAGGCGCCTGCCACAATGCCTAGCTATTTTTTGGTTGTAGTTGTTGTTGTTTGGCAGGCCCAGGCTAGATTTGAACCCGCCAGCTCTGGTGTATGTGGCTGGTGCCCTAGCCACTGATCTACAGGCACCGAGCCAAGCCACAAGTTCTTACTCACGAAAAATCTCTAGCCAAGAATACAAGGCTAAAAATACTGGGGATCAAACCAGGTGATCATTAGTTCAGGTTTTGTTTTAAGACTCTGCATGAGAAAAATGAACGGAAGGATACACAAAAATATCAGTAGTGAATATTCTCTTTAAGTATGTGTGATTTTTTCTTTCTACTTTCACTAAGCACAAGTTTTCCTTTTAAAAGGGTACTTTTGAAGTTGTAACTCAAAGGATCTATAAGGAGAATAACATTATAGCTAATTGTTCAAACTGGGATAAAAGGATATTATTAATAATTATGCTAAGATAATAGGAATAAATTGGGGCTACCCTGGATAAATCAAGACATATGGCCACTCTACCTAGGCATTATCCTGTTTTTCTATTAATAATCTGTCATTACTGGTGAATTTGACGAATTAGTAAAGCTATGTACACTCATATAATACATTTTCTAGATGCCTTTAATTAACTAGTTAATTTTTTGGCAGGGATCCCATTTTCTATCATATGTCCTAACTGTACCTTTTCAAAAGACTAGTTTTTGTTTCAGTTAATCATAGAAAACTGGATACAACTGGATACAGCTGACCATGGTTTTTTTTTTTTTTAACAAAGGAATAGGGAATTAAAGACAAAAATATCACATAAAATAATTTAAATATATATGTGTACATGTGTATGCATGTATATGATACATATTCATTCCATAATCTAGGTAAGCCAAATATAGAAATGCTAAGGTCAAAGACGAAGCAAGGGAAAATAGTCAACAATAAAAAAATAGCTACTTTCTGGAGCACAGCAATTCTATTCTACAAGCAAGCTGGAAAAGGTAGAATATTGATAAGCAGACAGGGAGCAGGCATGGCAGCATAACACTGTTTATTTATGTTTTCAAATGGGTATATCTTAGAAGCCCTGGCCTCACAGTCTCGTTACATAAAATAAGATTCGGTGAAGAGTTGCCTTTTGTTTCAGAATAATTTGATTAAACATCGTTTACATGTACATGTTACTTATCTCAGAATTATTTTGTGACTAGTTTTTCCGTTACTGCTTCAAAAAAAGTTCAATAAAGCTAATTTCTATGCAGAAAAGCACTCTGTTTAAAAGTCAGAGCAACTCTTAACAGGATCACGTAAAGTCTTCTTTCTTTGGTTCTTTTCAAAACACACTGTAATTTTATAGTCAACTCAAACACATAAAATAAACGAGAAACTAAACTTAATTCACAAAGAGAAAAGTACTCATTAATTTATCTTTGGTGGATCCCAGAGGAGGCATTTATGGTTTTGATTCCAAAATAAATCTCTATTAGGAGCCTCAGAGCAGTAGCAGGGGAACCTATTTCAAGAAAGGACTTTAGGTAATAGTTAAGAAGGTCAAAGGATAAAAACAAGGATTTGTATCAGTCCTTGAAGGCAGATCCAAGTCAATTCTGAAGTCTGTGCTTTGTTTCAAAAACATTTACCAATCAGTACACTGTCTATGCACCCTTTAGCAGCCCAAAGGAAAACAGGGCAGTGAGGATATACCATCAAGCTAAGAGAGGCAGCATATATATGCTTTTAGGTTCCTCAAAGAGAAAAGGAAGGCTTATGCCTTTATTTCAAAAGGAAAATTATATGGGTAAAGTAATTGGCTCAGGTAAATTTTCAAAAAAATTTGGTAATAGGCAAATCCTTAAAGTCAATGAAAGAAGCCTTAAGAAAGATCAATTTCCTTTGCTTCACAATAATTCAATCAAATTACTTTCTTGTTAAGGAGCAAGTCCTCAATGCCTGATGAAAACTATACTGGGTGTCCAGTTGTTAGAGTCTAGGTAAGAATAATTTAAGTGCATATACTTAAAAACCAAAAAATGTTTAAACTACTACTTTAGATAAACAGTGTGGCCAATGATCTTCGTGTATTTATTTTATATTCATTTATCCATCTATAAACCACTGTCATTTCCCCACCTTGCAGCTAAAATGATCACAAAAATTAAATATTTAATAAAGTATTAGAAATCCATTGTGAGAAAATTACAAACATAAATAGTTTTATTGATTGCAATTTGAATAGACTTCACTTTAAAAAATACTTACCAAGTGCTGGAGAAAGTTCTGTATAGGCATATAAATCTTTTTTGTTTTAACTGAAAACCGGAAGCTTAGAGTATAATTATACCTCTTTAATAATTAACAAATAATTGCTATGGTCAGAATTAAAAACTTTTAGTGTTGATACATTCTATAAAGGAAGGGAATAATGAGTATTAGAACAGTGCATACATTTCTATGAGTACAGATGGGGCAAGAAGTATACACAACTCTATATATACTACATATATTATCAAGTCCCAAAGCATGGTGAATTAGGAGTATAAAATTGAAGCAAGGTAAATACTAGCTCATTTACGGGCTTTATTTTGTCTTTCTTCAAATTACATTCTTAGGAGATTTAATTGTAGCCAAGAGCTATTTTCAAAATTCAGTAGAGGTGATCAAATGAAAATTATTGCTCTAACCTTAAAAAAATCAAAGCTGAACTGAATGTAGCTATAGCAAGGTAAATATTTACTTCCTTGGTTGTGGCTGATTGTTTCTGTGGGGTGTATTTCATTTGTTGAGCAGTGAGAAAACCTTCAAATGAAACTTTCCAAATTCAAATATTTTTTCTCAACACTGTTGTTAAGACTTTGCCATTCTCTTGTTCCTAAATACATTGCTGCTTATTTTAACACGTAGAAATTCTAAACCATACAGGTAAGAACTTTAAAAAAAGTAAATTAATGGAGGGAAATGAATTTTAATAAAAAATTTCAGTTCTTAGATAGGACACATTTAGAAGAGAATACTTCTTATAAAGAAGAGAATTCTTTCTTATAAAAAAACTCATTGTATTTGTAATTTAATTGACTCTACATCCTATACACAGATCGCCTATCTGGGTATAACCTAAAGGAAAAACTTGGGTGATAGTAAATTCCTGCGTCACAACCCACTGTGTCAAAATTTATTCAAGAGATCAAGTCAATTAAATAACTGAAACATTAAATTTGTTCTAAGTATGCCACTTTGGAGTTATATTTTTAAAAGCTGAATTGTTCTGATGGAATTCACAATGGAATTCTCATTGAATTTCACTGTCTTCAGTCTTGGCTCTCTTCCTCTATAACTCTATAGATGCCTCTATAATTTGGCATCTTAGGCCAAATTTAAGGCTGATAACAGAACCATTAACTCCTATATCCTGTGTTACTTACTGTCACACTCTCCTCTCAAATTTCTCTGCTTCTTGACCCATTACTTTCCCAATATAATTAGTTTGGCCATGTGGTAGTTTATTTTTAAGAGATAATTTAACCCAAAGTGGATACTTGGGATACTTTTAGGCAGCCTTAACAAATAGCTTATGTTTTCCAAATACTTACTACTTAACATAAAACTCAAAAAGAACTCAAGCACACTTTATACTGAAATGAAACTTACCTTAGAGCCACGTTCATTAAAGATTATTTCTACATCTAGGATTTTGCCAAACTGCTGCAGAGACAAAAACAGCAACATTTATTTATGATCAGCTTTTTAGCTGTGTATTTTACTCTCTTCTGGAATAGGATGTTTTTGACTTTAGCATTTCTATTTGTTGGTTAAGTTCTAATACCAGTTTCTGGTTTTTCCTATCACTGAGCTGACAGTTTCTTCCTTTTCTCTCCTTTCTTAATACACTTATTCATGCATTATCCACCTTTGTGTGTGGAAAGCCGTTATCTGAAGATATTCGCTGTTAACCCACTATATACTTCTTCATGTAGACAAGACTGAGAATTTTCCTAACTACATCTCTAATTATTTTATATGTCTCAGTTGTAAAAAGCAAATCCTACTAAGTAGAATGATATACTATCAAAGGCTGTACACCCCTTGCTTTTTTTACTTATACAAGTAAACCATGCTCACTATATAAGAATTAAAAACTACAAAAAGGAAATGGGAAAACAGAAAATAAAGATCATCTGTAATCCTACCATCATAACATTATTTTAGTACACAGCCTTCCAGGTTTTCCCTCAGCCATACAGATATAAGCACCAGATATCAGACTCACTCTGTGTAGTGCTTGCTTTTTTTAAACTTAGCAATAGATTATAAACAACTATCTAATTCAACAAATATATGTGTGCATATGTTACCATTTCCACAGGTTAACTACTATTTACCACTTTAATATTTCTGTAATAAATATGAAGAATATTTTAAATAACAACTCTCTTTAATTATTTAAATATTTTAACATTTGGAAAAGCAAACAAAGCTAGAGACACAAAGCCTAAACTCCATTGTTAGGTAGTCAAGTAGCTGATAAGGGGTTACACAAAATATAACAATTAATTGGAGAAGGAGGGATATATGAGACAAAACTGTTTTAATCAATACTTGGGTAAACTGAATTGAAGGTTTGCATAAGCTCTAAATGTACAGGTATCCTTTTGGCTCATATTCCCCTCTGCATACTCAATTTTCTATCTCTCTTAGATTTCAAACCAGACTTTGGGTAAAGTGAAAAAAAAAATAAGACAAATGAAAAGAGGAAGATAGAAATCATGTTTTTCTATTAGACTGAATTGTTACATCTTTATCAAAATATATGTATTAAAATCCCAAATTTTCCAGAGTAAGACATCTGGGTTTGATTCCATTTTCATCACTTAATAGAAGAATAAAAAAAAAATCAAGGAAATAAGAAAATGCCTTATTTTTAAATAAGAGGGGATTATATTTATATGTCTATCCTATAAAACTAAGATTTGTAGGGTGCTTCAGAGTTTGTTTTATTTACATTTTCTACCGCATCCTTCTGGAGTAAGGACTACCTTGCTTTTTACAGCTAAAGGAAACAAGGCTAAAAGAATCTGTCAAGTTTACAGAGCTGAAATGAAGCATGGAATCCTTGCTCTTCACCAATGCTACTGCCTTAAGTGACAGAAACTAACCATGTGAGAAAATAAGCAACTAGGTATGCTTTGCAAGGCAAAAAATTATTTCTTTTGCACTTTATGCCTCATAGGAAAAGATTAATATATTTTAAGAAATCACTACCTGGTCTACACAGATTTTCAATGGACACGATTTTTTGGACTCAAGAGAAAACATACCTCTGTCAGATAAAAATGTACTACATTCTCTCTGACCTCCAGAGACTAAGATTCTCTGTTAGCTCTGACAATGCAACTGAGAACCTAATAACTCACACTCCAGGCAATGTTTTCTATGTAACCTAAGTCCTTTATGTTGCCCTTTATATTTTCTGTTGCTCTCTTTTCTATAGAGATGGAAAATAGACAGTTATCATTTTCTGAGTAGAAGCTCTTTACATACTTCAAGAACATCATTAAATCTCAGCTCTGGCCTTCTTTTCAGCACAGAATGTAATCTCGGTAGTCAGCTCTAAATGACAGAACTTTGCTCCAGTTTCTTGTTACCATCAAGTGGCCACAACCAAGATGTAATAGAGGGCATTAGCTTTCCTAACAAAGTACCAGGAAGCTATTCTAATGGAATTAAAAAAAAAAAACAAACACACCTATTGATTATCTCTCTTGACCAAGTTAAGAGTTGGGTCAAATTCAAACAAGCAATAACACACAGGCTCAGAAAAAATTAAGACTCTCAGCAGCTATTTACTTCCCAACAACTTGAATCTTTGCTATTATACTTTTTTAATGATGGTGATGTGAGGAGGAAGTAAATAGCTAAAAGAACACATCAGAGATAGAAAACCAATCTTCTACACTGAATTTTAGATAATGGTCTTGAGGTCTGAGTGTGAGCAAGAAAAAAAAACACAAAATATCGAGGTACTATCTGCTTCACAGATATTACTTCATTCAATTCATAACACTCTGAAACATAGACATTACTGTCCTTATTTTTATAGATATGATATGCAACCTCAAAAACGTTTCATGAATATCCCAAGTTTACACACAATTAGAATTTGATCACATGTTCTTTGATACCCAAATCCATACTTTTTTCACTTTAATGAGTCACATCTAAACCTCTATTTTCTACAATGTATCTTCTTAAGACATTGCAAAGGCTGAGTACAGTGGCAATAATGCACTCTTAAATCCAATTCCTTTGGTTCCTGCAGTTTAAAGGGTAAGATAAGGCAGTATTATGATGGGCTAATATGAAAGGCAAAGAAAAAGACCAAGAAGGTAACAGAATGAATAAGCAGGGTCTCTAAACTTATCTACACATTAGAATCACCTCGGAATCTTGTAAAATGCCTAAGCCCAACCTCCCTCCCAAGTCAATTAAATCAGAACCTCTGGATGTGGGCCAAAGGCATCAATATTTTTTAAGCTTTGCAGGTGATTTCCAATGTGCAGACAACTGAAATCACTGCTCTAAAAGAATGTGTATGACTGCTTTTTTAGGTGAAACTAAACAAATCATTGATATGTTTACTAAGTTAGGTGGGTGGGTTGGTGAGCAAGTGGGGTGACCATCTCATCTTGGTTTTAACATTGAAAGTCTCCTGTCACAAGAAACCCCTCAGAGTCTGCAAACTGGGTCCTATGGTCACTTTAAGTGACAACCTGCAAAGTCAAGTCGGAGTACATGGGGTGACAGAAAAAAGCATCTAAAGACTGATGAAAATCCTGATTTACCTCAGGATCCTTCTCAATTTATTTGTAGTTTAATCCCATAGTACTAATTACTAACAACATGTTTGGTGGATCAAATTCTATTTTTAAATGTAAAATCCATGAAAAGACTTCAGAGACTTACCCCAAACATCTGCCGGAGGTCAGGGTCCCGGAAGCGGAAAGGAATATTAGAGACATGCAGCCGTTTTGGGGTAGATTTACTCTCTGAATTTTCACTACTTTGCGTCTGTGACTGCTGGCCATCTGTCTGTGCTCCACCTTCTGTCTGCTAAGCAAAGTAATGAACACTTGAAAAATAAACACAATTACTTCACAAGAATCATGTAAAATATTTTAAATCTTCTCCCACTGAATCATTCCCAGACAGGGTATCTTTAAACAAAAATTATAGATGCCCCTTCAAGGAAAAAAAAAGATGTTATCCAAGATGTTATCTATGTTACAAATGCTATAGTCTATAAAATTTTTTTTTGGTCTTTGAGTATGTATAATACATTAACAAAATGGAAGATAATGGACACAGAAACCTTAAGTGACTTGCCTAAGATCACATGGAGATACTATAATTGAAAATGTAAAAATAGTATCTTTATTCTTAGTAGAGCTTTCTATTTTTGAGATCTTTCTATTTTGAAAATAGAGAGTCTGTTGTACTTAGTTATGGGGGTCACTACATTTTTTGGTCTATTATCTCAGACTCTCTCAAGGAAATGAAATAAAAGAATATTTTTGCAAATTCATTCTCTCAATTAGTTCTAGAGTTTGCTACTACCAGTTTGCCAAAGTATTAATATGATGATATTATTATGAAGAGAAGAAATCTAGCGACAAAGAGCAATTTGCTTGAAAACTGAAGAAGCTTCTCAAACAAATCTGTACTCTTCCCCCTTAACTTATGCAATTCCAACTAACATTAGTTTAGGGGAATCCATTCTTCTGTAGCCCAAAGCAAAGAACATTTAGAGATCTAACCAGCAATTTAAGAACCTTATATTTTTACTATTCCCTATGAAGTACATGCCAAAGCAGACAGCTTACCTAACTGATTAAACCAACATACTTTTAAAACAAGAATGGAACTTTCTGTTTTTACTCTCTCAATCAAGATAAAACTAAGTTCCTAACAGATTCTTCTGGGAGACACAGTATGGATCCCCTCCTCTTTGACTATTGCAATGTTCATGCTAACAGAAGCTGTGAATCAGAGATACTTTAGGCTCAGGAATGTTAGTAACCATCTTGAAATGAAGTTTGAAACTTTAAAATATAAAAGATAATCAGGAACAAACTCCAAATGAATACTAGCTTTTTAAGTGTCAAGCTAAGTGATAGGAGCTTTTTATCTTATTCCATTCAGGCCTTGCAGATGGCTTAATGTGCAATGATTCATGTGATATCAAAATAGCAGAAAAGGGAAGAGCTACAAAGCAATGTTCTGTAAGAGTGTAAGATCTTCAGTCATCGATCTGGGCACAATACAGATTAACAAAACAAATTCCATTCAAAGATGAAACTCACTAAGTTACTAAAACAGCATCAGGGACACCAGCATGCAGGCAAAGCAATAAGCATCAATTACAACTAATGCTCATTAAGCACCTTCAACTTGCCGCTCACATCTCACAGCTGGATCACATAACTCTCACTTTAAAACTACCCGATCTGATCTGTGAGATGATGTACTCCTCCAAGAAAAGTTAAAAAAAAAAAAAAAAACACAAAACACTGATTCTACAAGCTCCAAGCCACAGTTTTATATATAACTTTACAGAGGGTACCTTTTAAGAAAGGAAAAACACTGTATTAAATTTGTAAGACTCAAGTCACGTTTGATTTCTGTAATTACAAGGGGTGCTCAATGTGACTTAACTCACTTTTGTTACTGGTATATACTGAGTATTATAATTTTAATACAGTTTTTTCCTTTCTTAAAATATGTATACTTTTTTTGGCACCCTCTGTATATGGAGTCCATGTAACCTGTCATAGTGTATGTGAAGTGGCAAGATAAAAGAAAACCAATGATTACTTTAAAGTATGGTGCTCAAGGTACTTCTTACCTGTTTTGTTTCTTTACCTTTATTTACAAAATATTTGTTACAATTATCTTGATAGTTCTGTGCTCCTCTGAAGACACAATTTAAGGTCAGAAGCCAGACTGGTTAATCTTACAGTATGTGGTGGACACTCATATTTTTTAAAAGTATGAAATGCTTAATTCTAGGGAGATCTGATAAGTGGAAAAAGTGAATTATCATTTCCAAAATTCTGAAGTCTTCTGATCTAATGTAATTTTTAAATTGAGGTTTAATATACATAGGTAAAAATAACATCAGATCAGAAGCTGGGCTGGATTTTAAAAAATGAACAAATCCTAAGCATTGAGCTGAATGAATTTTCACAAAGAAAGCAGACCCATGTAACCATCAAATTAGATCAAGACACAGGATTGCAGGGGAACCCTTGGGGCCTACTCCAGTCACTGTTCCTCTGCCAAAAGCTCACCACTATCTGGACTTCCAACTCCACAGATTATTTTTGCCGTTTTAAACTTAATTAAAACAATGGGTGAATCATACTCTTTTTCATCTGGTTTCTTTCCCACATTGTATTTATGTAACATACACACATATTGATGTAATTTATCCATTCTTATTCCATTGTATAAACACAGAATTACTTACTGCTTCCAATTTTGTCTATTCAGAATAATGTTCCTTTGAACATTCTTATCTACATGTCTTGATACACACAACCAAGTATTTCTGTTGGGAAATAAAAGTATATATCTAGGAGTGCATTTGCTATGTCAAGGATATGTGTATATTCAGCCTTAACAATACTGCCAGTTCTCTAAGTGACTCTACTAACATTTATACTCCCATCAACTGTGTGTAACAGTTGCAACTGTTTGTAATATTTTCATTTTCATCTTAACTGTTCTGGTTAGTGCCATCATATTTTTTTTTTTTTTTTTTTT